CTAACTCCTCCCACCTTCAGGGTGATGTCTGTCCAGTAGATCCGGTTATCTATCTATCTATCTATCTATCTATCTATCTATCTATCTATCTATCTATCTATCTATCTATCTATCTATCTATCTATCTATCTATCCCCGGACTAACTCCTCCCACCTTCAGGGTGATGTCTGTCCAGTAGATCCGGTTGTCGGTTACGTCGAAGTCCAGGGCGGACGCCTCCTTGACCCCGGTGAGCGGGATGGCCACGTTGTTGTTGTTGGTTTCCAGGGAGATGCGGCGGATGTCGGTGTGGCGGGAGAAGAGCAGGAAGGCCTCGGGCACGATGCAGGTCCTCATGTCCGCGATCAGCTCCAGGCCGATGGGGCAGCCGCACTGCACCCCCCGAGGAGTGTAGAGGCAAAGATGGCTGCAGCCGCCGTTAGCCTCCGCACACGCGTTGGTCCCTGGAGGGCAGAGCGCGGTTAGCATCACACAAACAACATTAGCATCACACAAACAACATCACACAAACAACATTAGCATCATACAAACCATCCCAGAGTTCAACTAGCATGTAAAAGATCTAAAATGAGCTACTAAGAGGACAAAAAAAGGACAAAAGATCACAAAAAAAGATCAGAAAGCCCCCAAAACTGTGCTAAAAAGACCAAAAACTGTGCTAAAAGACCAAAAACTGTTCTAAAAAGACCAAAAAATGTGCTAAAAAGACCAAAAACAGTATGTAAACCATCCAGCTGGGGTCCCACAGTGGGTCAGAATCTGAGTGACACCACAAACCAGCATGTAAAAGATCTAAAATGAGCAACTAAGAGGATAAAAAAGGAGACGGGCGTCAAAAAGAGCTCAGAAAGGTCAGAAATTGAGCTAAAAAGACCAAAAACAGCATGTAAAATTTCTAAAATGAGCAATGAAGGACAAAAAAAAGGATAAAGGACCACAAAAATAACTTAGAAAGCAGAAAAAGTGCTAAAAATAACAAAATATTATGCGAAAAAGACCAAAAAACTGCTAAAAAGACCCAAAAACTGAGGCGTGTAGAGGCACAGGTGGCTGCAGCCGCCGTTAGCCTCCGCACACGCGTTGGTCCCTGGAGGGGAGAGCTCGGTTAGCATCACACAAACAACATCACGCAAACAACATTAGCATCACACAAACAACATTAGCATCACACAAACAACATTAGCATCACACAAACAACATTAGCATCAGAACAAACCATCCCAGAGTTCCCAACAAAAAGAGCTCAGAAAGCCCCCAAAAAGTGCTAAAAAGAACAAAAATGAGCAACTAAGTGGATAAAAAAGGGGGAAAAAAGAGCTCAGAAGGCCAAAAAAAGTGATAAAACAACTAAAAAATTTAGCTAAAATGAACAGGTCTGGATCAGGACTTTTAGGAGGTTTGTAGGAGGGCTGGACCAGGCCTTTTAGGAGGTCTGGATCAGAACTTTTAGGAGGGCTGGATCAGGCCTTTTAGGAGGTTTTTAGGAGGGCTGGATCAGGACTTTTAGGAGGTTTTTAGGAGGGCTGGATCAGGCCTTTTAGGAGGGCTGGATTGGCCTTTTAGGAGGTTTCTAGGAGGGCTTGAAAAGGATTTTTAGAAGGTCTGGATCAGGCCTTTTAGGAGAGCTGGAACAGGTGCTTTAGGAGGTCTGGATCAGGTGTTTTAGGAGGTCTGGATCAGGACTTTTAGGAGGTTTCTAGGAGGGCTGGACCAGGACTTTTAGGAGGTCTTCATCGGGACTTTTAGAAGGTTTTTAAGAGGGCTGGATCAGGCCTTTAAGGAGGGCTGGACCAGGACTTTTAGGAGGGCTGGACTAGGCTTGTCCCTGTCCGATATCTGGATCCGATCGGACGGGATCTGGACCGGAATGGGGACCTCCCTACCCCAGACCCCCCCAGAGGGAGCTGGACTCACCGTAGGCCTGGTGCACGCTGGTGGCCTTCAGGCCCATGAGGTCGGGCAGCTGGTCGATGATGAACTCCCTCTCGGCGGTGCGTTTGTGGACGCGCTCGATGCTGCGGCGCTGCCAGTCCGTCCAGTAGATGTAGTCCCCCAGCAGCGTGAAGCCAAAGATGTGGGGCAGCTTGTCCTCCACCAGCACCCGCCGGCCAGTCCCGTCCATGTTCATCACCTGGAGGAGACACCTGACCGGTCAGCAGCTGGATACAGGTCTGTGGAACACTTTCGGGGCTTAAAGGACCACAAAAAGAGCTCAAAAGGCCAAAAAAAGAGCTAAAGAGATCAATAAACAGTGCTGAAGAGACCAAAAACAGTATTTAAACCTGAATGAAACCATGAACCAGCATGTAAAGATCTGAAATGAGTAACTAAGAGGGCAAAAAACAGATAAAGGACCACAAAAAGAGCTCAGAAAGACAAAAAATTGAGCTAAAAAGACCACAAACAGCTTGTAAAAGATCTAAAATGAGCAACTAATAGGACATAAAAATGACAAAGGACCACAAAAAGAGCTCAGAAAGCCAAATAAAAGTGCTAAAAAGACCAAAAAATATAGGTAAAATGACAAAAAACAGCATGTAAAAGATCTAAAATGATCAACTAAGAGGACAAAAAAAGGACTAGGGACCACAAAAAGAGCTCAGAAAGCTAAAAACAGGGCTGCAATAACCAACATATTAGCTAAAATGACCAAAAAGAGCATTTACACCATCCCAGAGATCCCACAGTGGGTCACAACCTGAATGAAACCATGTACAAGCATGTAAAAGATCTAAAATTAGGTACTAAACGGACAAATAAAGGACTGGGGACTACAAAAATAGCTCAGAAATCCTAAAGAAAAGTGCTAAAAAGACAAAAAACTGCTTAAAAGACCAAAAACAGCATGTAAACCATCCCAGAGTTCCCACCGTGGGTCAAAACCTGAATGAAACCATGAACCAGCATGTTAAAGATCTAAAATTAGCAACTAAGAGGATAAAAAAAGGACAAAGGACCACAAAAAGAGCTCAAAAGACCAAGAGTGCTAAAAAGACCCCCCCAAAAAAGCTATTATCAAAGAAGAAGACAAAACCTCTAAAGTTCTGCAGAGTTTAGCAAGAATCTTTTACCATTTTCACTAAGTAAGAAGCTATAAATTAATTTTATATTAATTTTTGTGATAATTTTGTGGTACTTTAACGGTTTTGTCTGGTGTCTGATGCTCAGTGTGACCATTTAAGATCTTTTCAGGATTATTTTAGCTCTTATTTCATGTCTTTTTCAGGTCATTTTTCACAGGTACAGTAATCAATTTGAAGGAGAGCAGATAACACCCATAAAATTTCAAAATGTCAGGGTCTAATGGCTTATTTTGTCATCATAAAAAGCTTAAAGTTAGCGGGGAACAAAGAGGTGGACCCAAAATATTTAATTAAACCAGTAAAACTTGGTTTGTTTGTTACTCTGGCTCAAGAATTTCAGCCATGCTTTATTTAAAAGCTCTTCCTGATGTTATCTATGAGTAAAAACGGTTTGTTTAGGGCTCTAAAACGCGGTTAAAAGTACTCTAAAGTCCAGTTTTGGTCCATTTCTAGCAGCCAGAGTTGCTCAATCTGAAAAAACTGGCTGCCTTTCAGGTTTTTCCACTTTTCTCTGAGTGGCGTTTGGCTTTTTTTTTCTACATCTGAGCAGCCGGGCTGCTGCTGTCCGGCTCAGGTCTGATCAGAGGACGGGCCGATAAGATACCTGAGACACGCCGAGGAGCTCTGAGGGTAAAAATGTCAGGAATCTGCAGAAACACGCAGCCAGAACTGGAATCTGCAGCGTGGAGCGCCGCCATTCGCTGAAGGCAGGACGGCCCCGAGTGGCCGGCTGCCAGGCCTCCAGAAAGGCCCCAAAAAGCTCCAAAACAGCTTCCAGAAAGGCCTCAAAACAGCCTCCAGACAGGCCCCAAAACAGCCTCCAGAAAGGCCCCGAAACAGCCTCCAGACAGGCCCCAAAACAGCCTCCAGACAGGCCCAAAAACAGGCCCTAAAACAGCCTCCAGACAGGCCCCAAAACAGTCTCCTAACAGGCCCAAAACAGCCTCCAGACAGGCCCCAAAACAGCCTCCAGACAGGCCCAAAAACAGGCCCTAAAACAGCCTCCAGACAGGCCCCAAAACAG